CGCCCGTTTCAGTTTCGAATCTACGGCAAATAAAACGAAAATGACAAAGTTTCTGAAAGAATCACTTTTGAACAAGTTAGAATGTAAATTCGCACGTGGAAAGGGTGGTCCGGGAGTATGTTTCATCTGTGTAAGTTATATATTTATAATAGAGACGGATTAGCATTCATAGCATTGCGAACCGTGGCGGGGATTTCGTGGTGGAATTAGACAAGTGGACGTAAAATCTTCTCTTTTTTTGTGCTCGCGTTTTTCATCTGTCCAAACGATATCCTTAAATTTGCATGTAAAAATATACCCCGGTCTAATTTGTAATCGATATTAATTCATTTTGAAGGGCTTTCAGAGGCATTATTTCACGTCCGTTCCCGCGCGTCAGGCGCTGCCGCCCGGTATTGGCCCGCCAACGCCGCTTGGTTCGGAAACCACAGCCCTGGTCATCGGTGTTCCTGCTTCTTAGATTGCGAGCACGCAGACTCGAAGCTGTCCTACGTTATTTGTTTCACATGTTGCTCCGGAAAGAAGATTAATGCAGTCATGTCACTTCCTAAAATCGGTTGGGGAGGGGGTGGCTGGGCCAATTAATTGACCTAACCTGCCCTTAAATTTTCATTTCTTCCCAGATTTTGGCCACTCTTATTTGCGACACTGATCTCAAAATCGAAGTAAAATACAAATATTTCGTGGCTTCCAAAATTGTTTTGATGTTGAGGAATGACTTCATTTGAACCCAATGTGACAAAGATAATGGTGACATGAAGATGGTAATGAAGATGGTGATGCATTAAGGACCTACTGTACCAGCAACTCAGACACTTGCTGCATGTCATAGGATGTTCTTCGCCTTGTGCACCTTGATGTACCTTGTTCAGTCAGGTACTCGGTCGTCGGTCCCGAGGGGCTTTCAGGTCCCTTGGCCATCTTGAACGCTTGCCCCAGAGCGATTCTTGGCTCCTTGCCATACAAGATCCTTGTATGCACTGTGGTCCCCAGATTCGACAAAGGGGCCCATTCATTTGTCTCAGGAGCCCCGGCCGACGTAAGTTACGGGCCCCCGGCCTTCTCCCTGCCTGATTAGTTGGGCCCTGAGTACTAGACCTGACGATGGGGTAATCTGGTGGCGAATCCGTCACGTCTAACGGTCGTTAAGCCTCCATCGCAGGGGCGTTGTTTCGTAAAATAGGCTGGGGGGGCTGAGCGGAGAGCCCTAGCCCTAGATGCACTAAAAAAAGATTCCTCCCGTATTTGTCCCGCTTTCCTCTCAATGCAATGGAGTTGGAGTCCCATCCAACTGAAAAGGAAACCACAGCGCTTCTCTAATACGTTTCCTCGCTCTGCCTCGACGGACATGTCGTAGTTGGGCATCACTACCATTTTGTTTCGCGTCGATCGTCGAAAGTAGGTTTCGGTAATCGCCACAAGATCAATGTGATATGGCTTCAGACGTCATTGGGACGTGTATGACTTGGGAGTAAGAGCAAAAGCCCTACACCACCTGAGTAGCTGTGCACGACTATTAATTGACTGCCACGGAAAATCTTGGCTGGAAGCCGTAACGGCAGAATGCGAGCTGCAACGCGCAGCCCGCGTTAGGCATGTTCGACACGGTCTAGGGCTGCTTCGGTGGACACTGTACGTAACATAGAGAGGCGTGCTCCTTGTCTAGTTATACGTACAATGGCATGCAGTTTTATCGGTTTTCGAGCCTATATTTGCATTGTAGGGATTTGTTGATGTATCAGTGTCAGCCCTTCGCTCGTGCGGTCCGCAGAATCGTCGCTTGCTTGCTGAGGCCCTCGCCCCGCCGCGGACCGTCTTTCAGGCTCGTAAAAAGCTGTCGCTTCTCCGAAAGCAGAAATGCTATGTACACGATTTTTGGTGTCAACATACGTGCAACGGATGCTCCAGAGGCTATCAAAGATGTGAGCGCGATTGCACAATATGCTGGACTGGTACCCATGGCAAACCTAAGGGGGGGGGGGCTTCGCATCGCCCCTCCCCTCCTGCCAGGGCAAGTGTGCTGTTTAGAAAGAACTGGCAGCCTGATGTGAAGCTCGTAACAAATTTCAATGCAATTTAATTGTTGGGGCACGGCGAAAGCCGCCCACCAGACGACACATGCCGCACCAGGCTTGGAACGCGCCCATTGTATGGTGGAGAGTTTAATGACGGTCGTGGTCGGGCTCGAAGTGCACACGTAATTTTCATAAGAGGATTTGATTTCGAGGCAGGCTTGCGCTGATTCAATTTTTGGGCTGGTTCAGAACTGGCCTACGTATTTTAAAATCCAATTTGGCTCGCGACTCAAAGCTATCCTAAATTGTTTTATTCGCTTCGGTTCACACTCATTGCTTGCATTGAATCAGTTGACTCACGGCTTACGCAGGCTGCAAAATCAAAAGATCCGGTTCAGGTCTGACTCGTATATAATAATATATATATATATATATATATATATAGCATTTATAAAAATAGGAACAAACAACCAATCGCAAGTGTGCAGTTCGAACTAGCAAATGCAGTGCAGCAAACAATACCTTTCCTGTGACCTATTACCAACCAGCTCTCTCAGCTAGCATGCTGCCGCGCCTACGACCCAGACCCATTATTTCCATAGCATGTAATGTGGACTAGACTGCGCTAGACCTGACAGTTGGCAGTCTGCACCCGTCTAGCGCCAGACTAGTGCAATCACGTAGGATCACATTCCTTCTAGCCAGTGCTAGCCATGCCGTAGGTGATGAATGCCAGCAATTCCATGTCGGATTGCAGTTCTTGCAATAGCGATTAGCTAGCACAAGTTAGACATTATGGACTTGCCTACTTACGTAAGCTTAATAAGCATTACGAATTGCGATTGCGCTTCTCACAAACAAGCACAGCAAAAATCTACCTCACTCGACCCACGTCTGCCAGTCAGGAAGAAACTGATTAAAGTGAACCGAACTGAACTCTGAACAACTAAACTAGAGATAGGCTAACGTGGACGCCGATTGCCGTTTCCATCAGGATATCTTAAACTCATCTCGTCAGGTCATATTTTGAAGGGCTAGAAATTACAGCGGGTCTGCGCGCTGCGTAGAGATAAGAGTGCTGTGCGCTGTGCGCACAATCACAGAACTATCCACAAAAGTTACAAAACGGACTTAACTCAATAGCTAGTGCTCTTAGCGGGACGACCACGGTCGCACTGATTCACGCGGGGTACTGCAGGCTTTCATCCAGCGACGAAAAGTCGCTGCGTGTTGGGTGAAAAGGCAGGAATTTTAATAGCGCGCGCATGCGGCCCGCGCGCGCCTGTTAAAATTCCTGGAAATTTTGTTGGACACCTTTGGGAATGTTTGCATTATACATCAGAGACGTTTCCCAGCAGGAATATTTTGAAGGTGACCGGCCACCATCAGCCATGATGTTTCAGGCCTGGAACAGCATGTCTACATATTCTCTGATTTTACACGGTCTGTTTACGCTGCCTATTCCAAACATTTTTTGTGATGCCTTTGTGCATTTACTTCACGTCATTATGAGTTGGAGGTTCTTATTCTGGCAATGATCGACCATTTATATCCAGGAGGTACTGGTTGAGTGACTTCGTCAAGCGAGCATCGCCCATGCGAACCAAACTCGACACTGAAAGTTGTGCCCATGGTGATGTTCACGAGTGAAGCGTGTATTGGTTGTTACAACATGAGAGCCTGCATAGCCGGAGTATCCGTGATGTCTGTGATGTGCATGGTGACTTAAAGTCGTGGTAAGTAATTGTCTAACCTTATGCTCGGCACTGGCCACTGTAATCTTCCGATTTGCCCGTTTATGCTTCGTAGAGCCCTCAGTACAAAGCCCTGTATCGGTTATGAGGCCAACTGATAGACGCCAAAATCGGAGACATGCTTTTTACCCTTACTGATAAGCAGGTAGTTGTACGAAATTCGAGCAAGCGCTCAAGCAAAGGTG